CCATGGCTTTGGCAAACTCAGCTGCACACCTTACCCTGCTTTGCTCTGATCTCACTGTAGAATCATGATCTTTCCATGCATCTTAAGACCGTGTAATAGATTCAAACCTTAACCCCACAGTTCCATCCCGATAAGCCAACACCCTCCTCTCTATTTTCCTATTGTACCTGGCTTGCCTGTGAACAAAAATATAGAGACACTGTCCTGGAACCCAAGACATCATGTTAGAGGTATTAATTTTTATATACTACTTTGGCTCTCCCCCCCCCCAACCCCCTAGTATTTTCTTATCGGTATAAACAATTGTGCGATGTTGTGAACTGATTTGAACAAAACACCGCGAATGTTTCTAGCCCTCTGTTCATTAAACACAAACCAAGCCGAGTTCTTACACAACGCTCAGCAGCAGCCTGGTGGGCTGAGTCTGGCTCATCTTAAGCAATCCCGGCGACCTGGACTTTCCGATTCAAACCCGCGTCCAGCTCTCGTTCCCACCCCAGGTCCGCCCTCCCAGACTGCCTGTTCTCTTATTCACACTTAGCAGAAAGCACAGCAGGTTCAATGAAAATGACTGGAAAAGTCCAACAGTGGATCCATCTCCTTTCCTACACCACCACACCCCCTCTCACCATCACCCCCTCCACTTTCCGCTCGTCCAGCTTTAGTGTAGAAACTGAGGGCGCTGGAGAAGGGTTTTTTGAATATTCAGGTCTCTGAACACCCACAGAGTCAAAATCTCGTCGTAGAAGATGGAGAGTGCTGGGGAGAGGGGGCGGGGGGAAATCACTGACGCCCTGGGATGCGGGACGCTCAGGTTACCCGCACAAGTGTCCCGTCGGGGGGTTCGCCGCGTTCGTTGGCGGGAAGAGCCCCGCAAAGCAAACGCGTCAGCGTCCGGCCAAAGGCCGCCTGCGGGCGTCTCCCTGCAGCCCGAGAGCGTTGACCTGCTCCCTAGCTCGGCGCCCGGCTCAGGGGTCCGGGACCCACCCGCGCCCGAGCGCGCCGCCACTTACGTGCCCACCACCAGGCTGGCGCCCTCCAGCACCGCCAGGCTGCGCAGCGCGTCCCGCGCCAGGAAGCGTTCCCCGCGGGCGCACACCAGCACCACTTGCCGCGCGTTCTCCAGCAGAAGGCGGTGGCCGCCGGCCATGTCGCCGCGCGCCGCGGGGCTCGAGGAGGCCAGCGTGCACCGCTAGCAACCCGGCGGCGGTGCAG